GCCAGAACTCACACTTTCCAAATTTGGCATATAGCCCATGGGCTCTAAGCAACTCAAGCACCACTCTCAAGTGTTCCTCTTGCTCCTCTTCAGAAGGTGAATAAATCAGGATGTCATCCACAAAAATGACCACAAAGCGATCTAAGAATTTCCAGAAAATCCGGTTCATCAAATCCATAAACACAGCCGGTGCATTGGTGAGCCCAAAAGGCATCACCAGAAACTCATAATGGCCATATCGCATACGGAATGTCGTCTTCTGAATATCTTCCTCCCTGACCCTCAACTGATGGTAACCCGATCTCAAGTCTATCTTAGAGAAACAACGGGACCCTTTTAACTAGTCAAACAAATCATCTATATGTGGCATAGGGTACTTGTTCTTGACCGTAGCCCGATTCAACTTCCGGTAATCAATACAAAGTCTCAAAGTCCCATCTTTCTTTTTAGCAAAGAGGGTCGGTGCTCCCCATGGCGAAGTACTAGGGCGGACAAAACCCTTATCTAGCAACTCCTGAAGTTGAATCTTCAACTCACTCAACTCGGCTGGGGCAAAACGATGCGGTTCCATGAAAATCGATGCCGTGCCAGGCACTAAGTCAATAGAGAACTCAATCTCTCAATGAGGTGGCAAACTAACAAGGTCCTTGGGAAAGACGTCTGAGTACTCACAGACCACTCTTGGAAACTCGGCCTAGGTCTCACTTCACTCACTACTTATACAGCTAGCGAGAAGACAACTAAGCTCACCCCGCCCTCGTGAATCATACACTGGTGGCAAAACACTATCAACCTAATCTCCTAAGAAATAGAAACAATCCCCGCTCAAGGTACACACAGTAACCCTCTGGCAGTAGCAGTCGATAACAGTCTGGTATGACGATAACTAGTCCATACCCAAAATCACATCAAAACTCAACATAACCATTACTACAAAAGAAAATGGGAGCCGGCGGTCGGCAACTTCTATATCACAACCTCTACATCCCTGTTTCAAGATCAACTCACCCCTGACAGGTGACATAACACAAATAGGAGAAGCTAACTGTGCCAATTCTAACCCCAAAACAGATGCAAATATAGCGGATATGAAGGAATGTGATGCACCCGTATCAATAAACACATTAGCAACCGAGTTACAAAACAGAAAAGTACCTCTCACAACAGATGGAGCCGGTACAAGATCCTGCGCGGTAACAACATACACACGCCCTGTAGGCCCCTGATCTACCTGCTCACCTCTCGGAGCAAAAGACTGCTGCACAGATTGAGCCGAAGAGGCTCCCAGATTGGCCCTCGAGGCCTGAACTGACTGAGCTGGCTAAAAACTCTGCCTTGACCCGGATGCACAAGATGTGCCACTCAACTGCGGGCAAAATCCCTTCAGGTGCCCCACCTGACCACACTGGTAACAAGAGAGCGGCTGGCCTCTGCCCTGATTCTGGCTCTGAGGACGAGCCAAAGATGAAGCTGCTCTCTGTCCTCCTCCCTTCTGCGGGTAACATGGAGACTTGTGGCCCAACTGACCACATTTGTAACAAGTAAAATCTCCCTAAATGCCTGTCTCAGAGCCTGAACTCGGCACTGGGAAGGTAGATCTCACAAATGCCCCCTGGGACTGCTGAGGGTTAGAACCCCTTTGCCTCCTACCATCCCCCTGGCCATCCTGACTCCGCTTTGAGCCCCTCATCCTCTCTTCCTCCTCATGCATAATAATCTCAAGATGGGCTGCAGCATCCACAAGGGGTCCATACTCCCGAGTCATGGACCCTGCAACTCTAAGCTTGAGCCCGGGCCTCAACTTCTTCTCGAACTCAAGACAACAGCGTTCTTTAGACGCCACTAGCTCAGGTGTAAACCTAGATAAATTGGTAAATGCGGCCTCAAACTCGACCACTGGTGTATTCAACTGCTTGAGCTGGCAGAACTGATCCCTCAACTTCTCCTTAACGGAGGGAGGCAAAAACTTCTCTTGGAAGGCGCCAACGAAAGCCTTCCAAGTCCCACCAAAATGGCCTCGAACAAACTTCCACCGTTGACCCGCGTCTCCCTTCAGCTGGAAGGACGCCAAGGTCACCCTCCAGGCTCCGTCTTCGATGCCTAGCATCTCAAACGTCGTCATCATTTGCTCAAACCACTCATCAGCCTTAAGTGGCTCTTTGGGATCACCCAAAAACTCGTCCGGATTAGACCGGAAGAACTCCCTTTTCAAGAAAGAAGGCCCTACTTCAACAGTGTGGGCCTGGACTTGATTCTCAGCTTTGAGAATGTCCATGGATTCCCTCAACGCTCCTGCCATCTCGTGGGCTAAGGCACCCATTTCCTGCTGACCCACTGGCTCGGCCACATTGGCCTGACCAACACCCTCCTACTACACCGGAATTTCATCCGGTATAGGCCTCTCCTGCCTCCTAGGCCTACCTTGCCTACCACCACGTCCTCGTCCTGACATCCTAATAAAGGTAACGAAGACATTAGCACATTTACAAATGTGTCGAAGCTATAACACTCACGTCCTTATACAATGGACAACTGTAATTCATTCCACATAAGCACATAATCACATAAGCACTTACGAATTTCATTTCTGGATACTGATAGTCCCGAGGCGTTGCTAGAGTTCCAGTTAGAAACAGCATTGATCAAGTGCCTTTCCAACAAGACTCCCAGAAACCCAAAGATCCAATCAACATCCTAGAAACCAAATCTCATACCCAAATAGTCACGTAAACATGTTATCAAATAAACACATGGCATTACATCCAAGTCTCTAACAAGCGAGACAAACCCACTGTGGTACTAACCACTTCCCATGTACCCAAGTATTCAAACCTGGTACGCTCTGATACCAAGTTGTAACGCCCACAAAATAATACATATAAACCCAACATTCATGATATTCATAGACAAGAGAATAAAGCATATTTCCATTCATCATAGTGTTTTTTACAAAAAGTAATATATGTTAACAACAAAAGTAAATGCCCTGTAGGCATACAACTTTCCAAGTCAACACTTGGTTACAATAAAAGAAGAGTTCTAACTCTCTACACAAATAAGCCCTTGGCTTGAATTTACATGTATTACCAAAATAGTAAAACAACCAAAAGAGTCTTCAACTCCCAAAACCATCTAAGCTAAGGCCTTGGAGGCGGCATAACACCTGAACTTGAAAATGATGTCCCATATAGGGTGAGCCAATGCCCAATAGAGATATGCTAAACATAATATGAGCAGTAACTAAAACATTGGCATTTGATAAATGTATAACTCATATAAACAAACATACATCTCTTTCCATTTCATTACCCAAACCAATTCATAGATATGGTTCCCTATTCAACTAGACCATTCATAATGAGACTACAACTCATATCAACAACACTTCAACAATTCAATTTCAAATGAGACTACAACTCATATTACGATCATTTCAATACTTCAATTCATCTACGTCATGAAAACGCAATTAGGATTTCGGGACTCACCCTGGACACTCCGACCAACTTAGTTATCACTGGAGTCCATCCCCTATCTCCTCCCAAATCCGGTTCAGGAGTACATCCCCTAGTTCCTCCCAGACCGTGGAGTACATGCCCTATCTCCTCCCAAACCGTGGAGTACATCCCCTATCTTCCTCCAAACAACATACATATATAATGTATTTAAACACTTATCATATACAATGATCAAGCAAAGCACATATTCAATGTGTTATTCCATCCGTCATATTCAATGACATACTCATATGATTAGTTTTAATTCACCTAATCATCATGCAGTGTCTACAACAATCAAAACTATCCTCTACCGATAGCCCAAAACATTTATTTCTAAACAGATAATAAATTATCAAATAGATAAATTATCTACAATTTCAAAGGTGCATGATTAATCAATCCAACTCCACCATTAAATCTCATAATTACCCAATTTCATTATTTCCAACTCAATTTCATATTTTCATAACTTTCCCAAATTAATTATACAAATTAATTCATCACAATAAATTAGGACTTTTCTCCTCCTTTTTCTCAACATTGACCCAAAGGTCCAAATATCATCAATAAGCATCAATAACCTCATTGTAAGACCCAAAATACACATGTATGGTCAAAAGAACAAAACCCCTCTTTATACATTTTGAAACCGTAATACCCAAAATTTTCCAACTAAAGCATTAAATCAAAGTGACCACATGTTTATGTCAAAGACCATAAATATGAGTAGTTATCCCTACCTCAAATTTCGGAGCTCAAAGGAGGAGAAGAAGAAAACTCAAAGGTGCTCCAAACTCAATGATTTTCGGATCAAAATGTAGCTCACACCAAGCTCCACACTTTTTACAAAGGGACTAGGGTGGAAGATCACTAAAGCTAGATGATTTCGTAGAGAGAAGATGTATTTTAGAGTGAGAAGCTCTCAAATGAGGGTTTTGAAAAGCTAGAGAGAGAGAGAGAGTAAAAAAAGTGACTAAAAAAAGGCTTCCTACGGACTGATATACTACACAGCCTGCTCGAGCGTGGAACGCCCCGCTTGAGCATCAGACACAGACTCCCACTCAAGCGTGAAAAGCAACGCTCGAGTGTCGAATGCACACTACTAGAAGTTCTGCAGACGAAGGTCCTCGCTCGGGCATGAAAATGGACGCTCGAACGTTCGATGACCTGCAGAGAAAAGTACTGAAGGTTGAATAATCATGCTCGAGCGTCAAACTGCCCGCTCGAGCGAAGGAGCAATACATGAGGGCCCGCTCGAGCGTCAAAAGCCCCGCTCGAGCGTGAATGCCAAAATCTGGGCATTAACTCTTTGTTTCAAAACACAACCAACCTATTTCAAACTTGTCCAACACAACCCGAAACTCAAATACAAAGGGTAAAGGATGGAAACGAGAATAAGACAACAACAACATCCACAGAACCGAGTTCGGAATACAATAAACAACGAGGGACAAACCGGGATCACTATACAATCCATAGACATGGGAGAATATATATATATATATATATATTCATTCATCAGAGTTTGCTTTACAGAAATGTTACATGTTTGCAACAAAAGAATGCCCTGCGGCTTACAGTTTTCCAAGTCATCACTTGGTTACAACAAAAGTAGAGTCCTAGCTCTATACATAGAAAGCCCTAGGCTTGGATTTACATTTAATCACAAAACAAAAATAATCAAAACAGAGCCTTCAATTCCTACACCTCTCAAGCTAAGCCCTTGGAGGTGGCATATCACCTGTACCTGAAAATGGTGTCTCAAGTATGGTAAGCCAATGCCCAGTAGAGATATACTAAACAACATATGAGAATTAACTAAAACATTAGCATTCGATAAATGTTTAACACTCCTAAATCAACTTATACCACTTCTATGACCAATCAACATTGACATCCTTATTTCAATCCATTTCCAAATATTTATCTGAATCAATGCATGGCATAGTTCAGTATTATCCAAGCAATTTAAAATGAGACTACAACCCATATTATCAACCCTTCAATCATGAACATCATCCATACACTTCTATTCACTTCTAATATCTTGCCATTTTACCGAACTACGTCCGAGGGAACCGGCACCCAAATATATATATAAAAGGTTTCGGGACTTTTACCCTGGACACTCCGGCCAACTTTATTATCAATGGCCTCCATCCCCTATCTCTTCCCAAACAAAGATACATATGCAATGTATTTAAACACGTCGTCATATACAATGACTAATTCAATCACATATACAATGTGTCAATCCAACCGTCATATTCAATGACATAATTCAGTTGATTAGTTTCAATTTACCTAATCATCATGCAATTTCTACAACACTCATGGCTATCCTCCACTGATAGCCCAAAACAGTTATTTCTAAACAGATAAATAATTTATCAAACGGATAATTTATCACATTTTCCATAGGTGAGTGATTTATCAATCCAACTACACCATTTAATCACAATCTTTCCCAATTTCATAATTTCCAAGCCAATTTCATATTTCCACATAGATTTCATCAATTACACAAACAATTTACATAGTGCAAATTAGGGCATTTTCCCCTTTTGTTCAAATGTTGCACCCAAGGCCAATATTGCACCCATTATACACAATAACCTCATTTTTGAGACCACACATACACATGGAACCTCAAAAGTAGAAAAATCTTCTTTTATAATTTCAATATCAAACCCTAACTTCACCCAAAAACCCCAAATCCCACAATTTATACAAAATGACCAATACTTATGTTAAAACTCATAAAGGAGAGTAGAATATCCCTACGTCAAGAAGAAAAGCCGAGCCAAGCAAGAGATGAACCCCAAAGACGCCGAAATCAATTTCCATTTGGATGAAAATGGAGATCTTGAAGTGCTCAAGCTTTTTAATGAAGGAAGAAGGGTGAAGAGATCACTTGATCTAGGCTAAAATGTTGAGAGAGAGGGTATTTTAGAGTGAGAAGCCCTCAACTTAGGGTTTTGGAAAGTTTTAGAGAGAGAAAGGACAGAAAAAGTGATTTAAAATATCACTTACGTGATCTGATATACGCACAGTCCGCTCGAGGGGAGAGTTTGACACTCAAGCGTCAGACATAACAATTAGACCTGCTCGAACGCAACAAATCCCGCTCGAGTGCCAAGACACAACAGCAAGGCATTACCCGCTCAAGCGCAAAGAGACCCGCTCGAGCGTAGAATACACTCGTCCAGTATTTTTCAGATTTCAGACAGTCGCTCGAGCGCAAGAAAGGCCGCTCGAGCTCAGACCCACTCGAGCGTAAGAAACGCCGCTCGAATGTGAAAAACACTTCTGTATTATTTTTGCAGACGCACAATATACTGAGTGATTGCAAACCCCGCTCGAGCGCAAGAAGAATCGTTCGAGCAAAAGACTAAAATTCTGGGCAACAAGGTTCTAGCCCAACTAGCAACCCACCTGTTCCAAACTTGCCCAACACATTTCAAAACTCGAATTCAAAGAGTAAGAGGAGGAAAAGACATAAACAACAACATTAAACCACAAGACCCGAGTCCGGAACACCATAAAGGTCGGGTTAGAAACCGGGATGGCTATAAAGTTAAAGAGGGATGTTTCACTAATTTCCCTTAAATTTAAAGTGATAAAATAAAAAATTATCATATTATTTTGAATTAATTTTAGGGTAAATCACACTAAACTCCCTTAAAATTTGTGAAAAATACAGTTCGCCACATATTTTGACATTATTACACCAACCTCCCATGGAATTTTAATTTACATAACAATTAGGTCCCTTTTCATCAATAATTTGATTAGTCGTATGAATGAAAAAATAAAGTTGTCATCTCTTATCTACTAAAATGTATATTATCTTTATTTATTTCAATATTTATTCACCATCTACATTAGTTTTAATCGATTTAGCTAAACTAAAAATGAAGTCAGTATAATTATATTAAAAGTGTAAAACTAACTGTATTTTTTTCAAATTTTGAAAGAGGTCTTGAATTTATGTATAATTTTTTAATTTATACAACACTAGTCTAGTTGTACCATAGAATAATCTCAAAAGGGCCGAATGTGTCCAATTAGCAGTGTATTGGCGGTTTGGGCCTCCCAAACCGTTGTATGGGCCTTCTAAGGCCCAAATAAGCTGATACATGGCTTCGATTTGGTGTTGGCGACGACCTCATATCATCATTACTCGAGAAGGGAACAAAGAAGACAATAGGTGATTTTTTTATTTCAATTAGGCTTTGTTTGGTTCAGTTCATGAATTTGGGGAAATCTAGAAATAGAAAGGAAAAATATAAATGAAATGTGAAAGAAATATAATTATTTTTCACATACACTTTTTATTTTCCTTTTCAAAACCCTCCCTAAATTCATGAACCGAACACAATCTTAAGAGATGGTTTATTTAGAAAAATTACATATCAATGTTATCTTTCAAAAATAATTATTAAAAACAATGTCTAATTATTACACATTAATGTGTGTTTGGGGCTAATATGATTAAAAATATTGAAATATTTATAATTTTAATTATTAAAATTTATAAAGTTTATCACTAATATGATTTTTTTGACAAACATGCATTGAAATGTTAGTTCCCCATTAATTTATAGCTAATTTTTTGTTTCAACTTGCAAGTATGAAAAGTAGGGGAAGCGAATTTCATTGGTTTGGTTTGATTTTTTAAAATTATTTTTAAGTGGGTTTTGCTTATTTTTAGTAAATTTTGGGGCTATATATTTATAAAGTTCTCATCACCTATTTATATTCCAATAAGTTTTAGGGAAATTAACCGGTAAATCCCGTTTCGTATACTTGTAATCCATAAGATGCTAAATGTTTTTTTGGTGACTGAGTGGTCCCGTAAATTATTTGTTGACGGTTTTGCCATTATTAATATAGTTGGGGGACAGGTGGTGTGGTTATGTATGGGGAAAGTGGTGTGGTGTTTGTGTGTTATGTTGTTCGAAAATCACACTAGTAGCTTTTTAAAGTTTGGTTGTTTTTAACATGCGCAGTGTGAGACGTGAATTCCTTACTAATTATTTTTTGGCACGTGACGTGAAGACACACAATAATTCAATCAAATTGTGTCCACCACGTTAGAGTGCCACATGTCACGTTTAGGAAAAGTAAACTAACGAATTTTTATGTATGGGGAAAGTGGTGGGGTGTTTGTGTGTCATGTTATTTGAAAAGCGCACTAATAGCTTTTTAAAGTTTGGTTGTTTTTAACATGTGCAGTGTGGAACGTGAATTCTTTACTAATTTTTTTTGGCGCGTGACATAAAAACATGCAGTAATTCAATCAAATTGGGTTTTCCACGTTGGAGTGTCATATGTCACGTTTAGGAAAAGTACACTAAGGAATTTTTAATTTTTTTAAAGTGTCACAACATCCCGGCCACGACTTCAATTCCTTACTCTATTTTTTTTGGTGCGTGACGAGAAGAGACGCAGTAATTCAATCAAATTAGGTCTGCCACATTGTAGTATCACATATGACGTTTAGAAAAAGTACACTAAAAGTACACTAAGGAGTTTTTAACTTTTTTAGAGTGTCACAACATACTCGCCATGTTGTCACATTTGAAAAAAATGCACAAAGGATGGGTAAAAATTTTAAAGTGTCACATCATACTTGCCATGTTGTCCCATCGTTGGAGTGTCACGTTAATATTTGCTATATTGAAGTATCACACCATACCTGTCACACATTCTAAAAAAAAAAAAAACAAACAAACAAACTTCCCCAATTAACTAGTAAGGATATATCTGTCAAACCAATACCCATCCACGTTTGAAAAGAGATTTACTGGTCACACACTACACTTAATAAGGACTTCTCAATCAACTATTTAAAACGTAGGACCAAATGGTACAGAAGTTTCCAAAAAAGGACTTTCCAATAAATTTTCCTAAGTTTTATGGATGACATAGTTATCAAAATACTCCTAATAATAATAAGGTGAAATGCGCATTAATGTTCATATTGATAGTCTAAATATTCCATGATGTGAATATTCACATCACCAAATTGCTAAGTAAAAAAAATATATTTGAAAGTGTAAAATTGTCTATTAAATACTTTAAATATGAGAATTAGAATTTTGTAAATCAAATGTCTAAAATATTAGGATTTGTTAAAATACAAGAATATTTTATGAACTAATTGGTATACATGTACTTGAAAGGGAATTTTCTTATTAATTTCTTTAAATTTTTTTCCTATTTTATTTTAATTTTTAGATACATCATAAATGCACAGGTTTTTGTTCAAATTTTGGTTTGTTTTAGTGAACTATTTTTATATTTTATTCAATTTTTTTTCTTTTTATAAAAAATGCATCTAAATAGATGCATCTAAAAAAGAAGGAATTTAATTAAAATATGGAAAGAAAAAATTACTAAATACAAATGAAAACTCATTCAAAAACAGTTTTTGAAAAGGATATGGATTTTTTCAAGTTAGCCATCTCAATTTGAGAAAATGTTTAGGTTTGGTAGGCTTATTTTGGGGCAGACCTCGATAATATAAACTGTTCATTTTTCAAAATTTGTTGATTAGAATATTTGGAAAAAAAATCAAAATAATCGGATATTGATAGCTACAACAATGACATTTATATTACAAAAAAGTGATGGCTATTTTTCAAATTATATTTGTTATCTATTTTTTGTAAAATGTGATTTAAACATATAACTATAGATATTCAATCTTGTTAATTTTCATGAATATTTTATTTAACAAAACTTAAAAAGGGAAAGATTTAAATTACTGAGGTTGACTTCATAATGTGCATACCAAATCCAAACACTCACTCAAATAGGAGAAATTATTCAGTGCTCCTGAAGCATTCCTCCTAAAGCGTTGCTCCATTCTATTTATATGTTGACACTTAATTATCTCCTATAACTCAAACAAAAAGTAGTAGATCTCATAATTTACACCAATAACTACTTACTTTGAACTAACACCTAAATTTGCTATTGAAGTATTGAATAATTTCTCCTCAAATAGGCTTGTCCAAACCTTTTTTTAAAAATCATACCAAATGGCCTTTTTTACTTCTAACTTAAAACCAGCAACAATACAAAAATACGCTCACACTCCTCTCTGTGTATGTGTGTGTGTGTGTAAAATTACTGTTTTTAAGGACATCCCAATCACACCCACATGGGTTATTTTTGGAGATTACTCTTTGGAGTACTGCCTATTATATAGGCTCTGGCAAAATCCAAGCCACCAGAAATTCCATTACAAACCAAGCAATGGTTCAGTAGAATTGAAACAAATAGAAACACTAAAAATAGAGTAATGCCATCAAATTTGAAAACCACCTTCTGTGCATAGAAAATATTGCAAAAGATATGACCCTAACCTATCCTATCCTATGGACAAACAAAAATAATCCACAAATTCTCACAATTATCTTAAATCGTTCAAGTATTTCAATCATCATATCAATGGTTCGTTCACCAGAAAACAGTTCATTCTTTTATATATCATGGGACCTCTCTGTGAAATCTCTTTAATATTTAACTCAAAGGTTAATTTTTTTTAAAATGTTAATTTGTTTAGAACAAACAAGAACATAACAGCAATAGTTATCCCAAATCCAGTCCCAAATCCCATCCCAAGCGACATTTTGACAATAATCTCTCTCCACATCAACTTGTTAACAGAGACTACTTGAGGAACTTGAAGGTTTCAAACTGCCCTCCAGTAGGGATTGTCCCATATAGTAGATTGTAAGCAACATTGAACTTGGATGGAAAGTTGAGATTTACCGACGGAAAGCTGAGATTTACCAATGAAAGAGGTATACCTCCGGATAGATCATTGTGAGACAAATCCAAAGTCTCTATGCTTGTCATACCACACAAATCCTCAGGAATGTTTCCAGATAAATTGTTGCATTTTAGGTCCAAATAATGCAAGTTTTTTAGGTTCCCAAACTGGGGCCAGATGGGTCCGGTGAGAAAGTTATTGCTAAGATCAAGTGTGGGTGGGAAACTCCAAAATTTGCTTATACTGCGACAACATACCAACGCCTCGTGAGAATGAAAATGAGAATGGCAAGCGTAGAGAAGGGTCTTCCGGTAAGACATCTTTGGAGATGAGGCACTCTAATTTAGTCAAGTTCTTTGGTATCTTTCCGGTAAAATAGTTATTCGACAAGTTAATGTAAAACAGAAACTCAAAATTACCAAACCATGGGCCCGATAAATACAACGCCTGCAAATTTGTCAGCCGACTCAACCACTGGGGGACCACACCACTAAGTCTGCAATAGGCAATAATGAGAGCCTTCAAAATTTTAAACTCTAGACTAGGATAGGAAGGCAATTGTTCATCATGAAAATTCAAGGTAGGAACCAAAGCAGTCAAGTTCTAGCACTACTCCAAGATATCAAGGGAGGCTGAGAGGTTAAAAACGGTTGAGTTCGATAATGAAAGCAAAGAGAGAACATGAAAATTCCTAAAGCTTTCTTGGATTTTCCCAATAAAGTTGTTTCTTGAAAGACCGATTATTTCCAGTCTCGAACAAAGTGGGAGATTATCAGAAACTAGCCCGATGAACTGATTAGTGGCTAAACTGAGCAAAACCAAATGGGCCATTTCAGAACAATTCAAATCAATTACACCATTCAAAGAATTGTTTCTCAAAACAAGTGAAGTAATAGTCCTAGAATTCACCACAGAATTGGGAATTCCACCGGAAAAATTATTGGATTCAGCATAAAATTCTTGTAACTTTGCACATCTATGAAAAACATCTGGGATAGGCCCTGAAAACGAATTCAATGATATATCCAAAACAACAAGATCAGAGAGATTACCAATTCCACTGCTGAGCTCACCCGAAAATCGATTATCTCGAAGACCGAACTGGTTCAATCTCGGTAGCCAGAAAATATCATCCGGTATGTCTCCGGTGAGAAAATTGTGACCAACCCAGAGGTGTTCTAACGAGCTGCAATTCCCAAACCCATATGGAATTCTACCAAAAAAGTGGTTCACAGCAAAATCAATGATCCGAATTCGAGTTGAATTGATACAAATCCCCACAGGAACCGAGCTTTCCAATGAATTATCAAAAATGTCAAAGATCTCGAGAAAAGGGAGGTTGATACTCATCGAAATTGACCAGAGAAATCGTTTTTGCTGAGATCGATGACTTGTAGATTCAACATTTGAAACAGAGATGGAGGAAGAGAGCCTCGGAGGAAATTGATAGAGAGGTTTAGGGTAGTGAGTTGGTCTAAACCAGTGAAAGTAGTTTCGTTGAGTTTGCCAGCCAACATCTTCCTCGAGAGTTCCAATTTCACAACCCCGCTGGAATCGATAGGATCGTTGAAGAACCATTTATAAACAATAAAAAAATAAAAAATAAAAAATTATCAAATAAGTTTTTATGACAACTTTTAAAATTTTTATAAATACAAATTGAAAATGAAAACGAAATAGTTACCAAACAGGTCTCAGATGATAAAAATATTATAAAATTAACAAATAATTAAATAAGTTACCAACATAAGAAATGACCCATCAAAAGATTCTTAGGTTATGTATGGTTTGATTTTTAGAATTTTTTTTAAAAAATTAAAAATTAATTTGGTTAATAAATAAAAAATAAAAAATAATTATCATTTTTATATAACTTTTTTTTTCGAGTGGTTATAAACAATTTTTGTAAATATAAATTGAAAACTGAAAACGAAATGGTTACTAAACAGGCCTCAGATGGTAAAAATGTCATGAAATTAACAAATAATTAAATAGGTTACCAATGTAATAAATGACTTATCAAAAGATTCTTAGGCTATGTATGGTTTGATTTTTAGAAAAAAAATTTAAAAATTAAAAATTAATTTGGTTAAGAAATAAAAAATAAAAAAATAATTATCATTTTTATGTAATTTTTATCTTTCAAGTGGTTAGAAATAATTTTTTATAAATTAAATATATTTCTTCATATTTATTTTTATTAATTTAGTTTTTTTTTCAAATGTCAGGGGGGATCCGTATTAAATTGAAACCTCAGGAGATGTTAATATAATTTACCCTTTAAAGTATATGTAAATGTTAAGGGTAAATATGTCATTTTAACTTAAAAGTTAACACCGTCAAATAATTACACTGACAAGGGGGTCAGTGTAATTTCCCAAATGTGAGGGGGAACTATAATAAATATAAACCTCAGGAGGTGTTAGTGTAATTTACCCTAATTTGATATAAACTCTTAAATAAGTTATAAGCTGTGTGTATTTAAAAAAAGGGAAAATTGGTCTAAGGTCCCTCATCTACTTTTGATAGGAGGAGAGGTCCAAAATAATATGTTTTGATGGCTAAGGTCCCTCAAATTTATTTTAGGTTATAAAGTACCTAAATTACCCTTCTTTTATAACATAAATTTGTTTGAATATTATATTGTTGACTTCACGGTGAGATTTTGGAAACCGAATTCGCCGCAGTGATTTTGTCAGAGATTGCAGTGGAGTTGACGAGAAATTTGTTTCCATATTATATTGTTGACGTCATGGTGGAGATTTCATCAGAGATTTCAGTGAAGTTGACGAGAAAGATTGCTACGATCGTGTAGGTGTTATAGTGTGTTGATCACGTAAATTTTCAGTGGAGTTGAATCAGGTTTGTTTTCGATGGAGATTCCACATGCATTTTGATTTTTGTTTTGAATTTTTGTTTAGAAAGAGGCCAGCTTGATAGAGTTGATTTTTATTTTTGGAATTAATTTTTGATTCTCTGGTTTTTGATCAATTGCAAAGAGTGTTGACAGTGTGTTGATCGCATAGGTTTTTCAGTGGAGTTGAATCAGGTTTGTTTTCGATTTAGATTCAACATGGATTTTATTTTTGTTTTGAATTTTTGTTTAGAGAGAGGCCAGCTTGATATAGTTGATTTTTATTTTTGGAATTAATTCTTCATTCTCTGTTTTTTGATCAATTTCAAAGAGTGTTGACAGTGTAGTTGATTTTGATGTTTAGAGTTCATTTTTCGTGCTCTGTTTTTCATCAATATGCTGATCAATGATAAGTTTTGTTCTATGTTTTTCCAAACCAGAGAAATTTTTTTAAACCATAGAAATTTCATTTTCTATACTTTTGTTGGTATAGTCCAGAGAAAATTGTAAGTTTGTTATTATAATCCAACGAAAATCACCGAGAAAATTATAAGTGCATATGGACATATTATTAGAAGTTTCTAATGCAGATAGAATTTGAGAAAGTGAATGTAAGTTCATAAATTTCTCTGGACTTTTATTTGTAGTTCAGAGAAAATTATAAGTTTGTTACTCACTTTCAGTTTGTAGTTTAGAGAAAATTATATGTTTGTAGAAGATGAATATAAGTTTTTGTTTCTCAAAGCAAAATTTGTTTTTTAAAACGATCCCGGTTTTCCCTTCATTGTTTAATTGTATTCCGAACTCGGTTCCGTGGATGTTGGTCATTGTCTTATTCTCATTTCTATCCTTTACTCTTTGTGTTTGAGTCTTGGGTTGTGTTGGGCAGGTTGGGAACAGGTTGGTTGTGTTTAGAAACCAAAAGTTGATGCCCAGATTTTGGCCTTCACGCTCGAGCGGGGCTTTTGACGCTCAAGCGGGCTCTTTGTTTTTGCTTCTCTGCTCGAGCGGGCATTTTGACGCTCGAGCGTGATTATTCATCTCCCAGTATTTTGTTTTGCAGGTCATCGGACGCTCGAGCGTCCACTTTCACACTCGAGCGGAGAACATCGACTGCAAAACTTCTGGAAGTGTGCATCCGGCGCTCGAGCGGCGCTTTTGACGCTCGAGCATAAGTCTGTGTCTGACGCTCGAGCAGGGCGTTCCATGCTCGAGCGTACCTGTTTGTATATCAGTCCGTGAAATCACTCTTTGGATCATTTTGTCGACTTTCTCTCTCTCTCTCTCTCTCTCTCTCTCTCTCACTTTTCAAAACCCAAACTTGAGAGCCTCTCACTCTAGACTTCAACTTCTCTCTACAAAATCATCTAAATCAAGTAATCTTCTACCTTGGTCCCTTTATATAAAGTGTGGGGTTTGGCTTGCTCTTTATTTTGATCCGAAAATTATTGGGTTTGGAGCACCTTCGAAATCCTTCATCTTCTCCATTTGGTCTCTCTATTTGAGGTAGGGATAACTACTCATATTTATGGTCTTTGACATAAACTTGTAGTCATTTTGATGTAATGTTGAAGTTGGGTAATTTTGGGGGCTAGGGTTTCAAAATATATAAAGAGGGGTTTGTTCTTTTGACTCATACATGTATATTTTGGGTCTTAAAATGAGGTTATTGATGTTTAATGAAAATATTTGAGCCTTTGGGTTAATGTTGAGAAAAGGGGGAGGAAAGCCCTAATGTGTTGTTATGAATTAATTTGTACAATTAATTTGGAAAGTTATGAAAATATGAAATTGAGTTGGAAATAATGAAATTGAGGAGTTATGAGAATGAATGGTGGAGTTGGATAAGTTAATCACTCACCTGTGGAAATATTGATAATTTATTTGTTGATACATTTATTATCTGTTTAGAAATAATTGCTTTGGGCTATCGGTGGAGGATAGTCTTGATTGTTGTAGACACTATATGTCGATTAGGGAAAACCAAAACTAATCACGTTGAATATGTCATTGAATATGACGGTTGGAATAATACAACGAATATGTGTATTGATTGATCATTGTATATGATAAGTGTTTATATACATTGTATTGTGTGGGAGGAGATAGGAGATGTACTCCACGGTTTGGGAGGAGATAGGGGATGGACTCCTAAACCGGGCTTTATTTGGGAGGAGATAGGGGATGGACTCCATTGATACAGCAAATATGTGTATCTATTGTGAAGTATGGAAGTGTTTTGATATGACATTGATACAGCAAATATGCGTATCTATTGTGAAGTATGGAAGTGTTTTAATATGAGTTGTTGTCTCATTTAAAAAGGAAGTGCTTTAATATGAGTCGTAGTCTCATTAAATTGTTGGCCAGGTTCTGAGCCATGTTATGAATTGAAAATTTGATAAGTAAAGGAAAGTGGAATGAAATATGGACATATCTGTCATGGAATTGGATTGTATTGTACGTTGGTTTGTATGAGTTAAACATTTATCAAATGCTAATGTTTTAGTTATTGCTCATATTATATTTAGCATATCTCTATTGGGTGTTGGCTCACCCTATATGGGACATCATTTTCAGGTACAGGTGGTATGCCGCCTCCAAGGATATAGCTTGGGAGGTTGTAGAAGCTAAAGACTTCCTTTTTGTGATTATTTTGTGTATTACATGTAAATCAAGCAAAGGGCTTATTTTGTGTTTTGAGTTAGTACTCTCTTTTTGTAACCAAGTGTTGGCTTGGAAAGTTGTAAGCCCGTAGGGCATTTACTTTTGATGTCAACATGTAATACTTTTGTAATGAATACTCTGATAAATAGAATTATGCTTTATTCTCTTAAGTTTATGGATGTCTTGAATGTATGATTTATGGGTTTATTTTGAAGGCGTTACATTTTTTGTGTTTTTTCTTTCAGTTTAGATGGACAATGTAATGTTTTTTGTTATCTTGAAGGTGTATATAAGTTTTGTAAATTTCTCTGTATTTTTCTATGAGTGTAATATTGCAGAATGATGCATAGAAAATTGTTAGCTTATAGTGAGGTGAAAATCACAGAGAAGCCTATAATTTCATAACAGATATTCAGTGTGATTTTTTTCTATGATTGTGTTTAATAGTTAGCAGTAAATTTCTCTGTGATTCTCTCTGGATTCATTAAGTTTCTATGATTTTGTTTTTTGTTATCTTGAAGGTGAATATGAGTTTGTAGATGTCTTTGGACTTTTATTTGGGTGCAGAGAAAATTATACTTTTTAGAAATTTCTCTGGACTTTTATGTTGTTCTTGTGAAGTGTTTTTATGTTAAACAAATTATTTTTCTTGTTTTCTCTTTCAGTTTCAATGGACAGTGTAGTGTTGTTGCTGTGCAAATATGAGAATGATACTATTGTCATTAATGTTTCATGCGAATTGAATTTTGAGGAATTGGTTGGCATTTTGTGTAAAACATGAGAGAATTTGAAACCTGAGACTATGTATATTTCATATTCTATTGTAGGCCATCCGAATTGTATGGTTCAAAATAATATTAATTTTCTGAATATGTTAAGGGTTGTTTGTGCACGCGGTGTTGATATAGTTGATGTTTTAGTTACTTGATGTAGTACTTCTGATGAAGAGGATGAAGTGAGGTCTAATTGGGTAGATGTTGTGGATGGTGAGTGTGATAGGCTGGTGGATATTGAAAAAAATTCATTCTCTA